ATTAAACCATTTTATTATTATTCCAGGTTAGGCCCACTGAGCTATTAAACTCATGTTCAGAAGCGACCTGGCCACAAATTATAGCTTAAGTGGCCTATCATTTGGAAATATATAGCATCAAAATCCTCCAAACGCATGTTTCTAAATGTGGAGGGGAAAACCCGGAGGACCTGGAGAAGAATTCACGCGACCACGGGGAGAGAGACACGCAAACTCCAAATATACAGCAGGCGTCAGGGTTGGGGTTGAACCCATGAACCTCCTGCATACCAGGCGAGGTAGTTAACATCTCCTAGCCACCGTGATAATAAGAGAGAGACACGCAAACTCCAAATATACAGCAGCAGGCATCAGGGTCGGGATCGAACCCACTGCCACCTGTATACCAGGCGAGGTAGTTTACATCTCCTAGCCACCGTGATGACGATGAGAGAGAGACACGCAAACTCCAAATATACAGCAGGCGTCAGGGTCGAACCCACGACCTCCTGTATATCTGGCGAGGTAGTTAAAATCTCGCTACTTACTTTGCTAGACTGCCCTCTGCTGCCCACCGCGTAGCCCCGCAGCTCATCAAACCCGTATTATATGCATGGTGTTGGCCCGTCGAAGAACTGTCCAGTAACCAGCCTGCTGAGCTTCTAAGCTCGGCCGCATTCCAGGTGAATTTAGTCACACAAAGGCACATAGACTTTAAGAGGTAAATATTGCACATATCCACTACATTGCTTATTTAAGATAATTACGCCAATGTATTCCTTGGAACTGTTCAAGTATTAACAGCATGGTTATTATTATTATTAGCTGACTTCGTTTGTATTCGTCGATGGTAAAGAATAGCGGCAGCCAAGGAATTGCGCAGCGGTGGCTAGGAGATGTTAACTACCTCTCCTGGTATACAGGAGGTCTTGGGGGTCCATCTCGACCCTGACGCCTGCTGCTGTATATTTGGAGTTTGCGTGTCTCTCTCTCTCCACGTGGTCGCGTGGATTTTTCTCCGGGTCCTCCGGTTTTTCCCTCCACATTCACAAACATGCTATACATTTCCACACGATAAGGCCACTTCGTTAAGCTATCGTTTGTGGCCAGGTCGCTTCTGAAAAATAACTACTAGATAGCTCAACGGGCCTTACCTGGTCAATAAAAAAACAATTTATTTGAGTTGGATTGTAGCATCGCAGAACCGTGAGAGATGGCGACGGCTTGGGGAGACGTTCGTCCAGCAGTGGACTGACCCTGGCTGATGATGATTGCGTAATCATAGGTGTGCACACTGTATACATATATCATCTGGCTGAGCGATGCGCGCCGTGTGTGTGTGCGAGTCGGGCGTGGGTGTAGTGGTCAGCGCGCAGCGTTACAAACCCGGCGACCCCAGTTCGATTCCCGCTCACGGCTAACACCAGTGACGATTATTTTAATCGGTACTGGCCCTCCCCTAGGTCGACTCAGCATTAAATGAGTACCTGGTGCGGTGTGTAAACATCGCCACTGGGGAGACAAAGGCGGCCGGGCGTGCTGCTGGCCACCCACCCCCTCGTGTGCCGTGCCGGCTTTCATAGGTTCTCGCTAAACAGCACTTGCCCCAACAGTCTGTTAAGGCTACACGGGGGACCTTTGTCTTCGTCGTGTATTCCGCTGTCCCTCCGTGTATTTATTCTCACCGTGCAATTAATCCACCGCCGTCTAAGAATAAACCACGAGCTGCGACTCCGCCGAGAGTTGTGGGTAGAGATCTCTCGCGGTGTTTATTTTTTTTTTCAGACCATTCGAACCGCGAGTTTATTTGTCGTCATTGTCGTCACCCTTCCACGGATCGATCTGCCGCCGCCGCAGCCGAAGCGATCGCGATCCCTGCCACAGTCCAAGTGGCACCCGGCACACGAACCGATGTCATCGCTCCATCTCCTCGATGCGCACGCCTCTCGGACGAGTCCCGTTCCTTGGCAACCGCTCCGCTATTATTTTTGATCGTCGGACATCGGCAACCTCTTCTCGTAGAGACGCGTCCTGGCCCAAGTGTGTGTTTTTTGTTTGGTAATAGCTCGGTAATTCCTATGTATGTATGCATGTTGGACTTCTTTTGCACTGTACGTAACCAACCGTGCTAATCGGAGGTGCAGGGGAAGGGCAATATACTAAACACTTAAAGCAGTTCTAAAGAAATTAGTTTGCAATCTGGATTTAAAAGTGCATAGTTTCATTGGCTTCCCAATATCGGAAGGAAGAGCGTTCCAGACGGCCGCACAAGCGCATCCGATAGCACGCGATGCTGGTGCAATCTTTGTTTCCGATGGTTATCCAAAAGCCGCTGCTATGCCCATACACACCACATATAGCCAATAAACATGGGACGTTGGAAAAACATTGGCACGTGGTTAGAACCGTTGGACCAACATTTCATGTTTAATGAGAATTAAATATCCGCATACGACCCAGAGTGACGAACTTCAAATGGCAGTGATGTTTTTGAAGGGCCATGAAAGGTGACATTTTGCACATAGTCGAGCATATTCTTACAACGAGCAACACTTAAAAAAAACACTATTGTTTCATGAAGGCCCTGAACATTTTACAGGGCAGTTTCAGCCTAAAATGCTGACATTGCTTTAAGTCTCGCGTTAAACGCTCAATAGACAAACGCTTCCCACGGTCAGCAACCAAAGTAATTCGCTGCACGTGGAGTGTGACCCTAAAAGCCGACACGAGTGGGTGTACAGACACATGACCTTCTGAGCACGACAGTAGTGTTGTCTGTACGTTGAAGCAAAGTACAGAGGCCAGGACAGCACAGCTCAACAAAGTCGCTTAACCACTCATACTCCTTACGTGGCCCTGTGATTTGAAATTCCACGTTATCGTGGCAAGTGCCATGACGTAAATAATGCGTACATTTAAACACCGCTTCGCTTAATCATTGATTGGCGATGCCCTTTATTTAAGCGGGTGACGAGAGCCCGTTGAGATTCTTATCTGTTGAGATTTCACATCACACGGCCGGCACTCATTAGCACCGCATCTGCAGTTCAGGCGAAATCAATTTTAAAATGCTGGAAGTTGGCCAACACGCCGACAGGCGGTCACTTGGTCTGGCTCTTTGTCAATGGTGTCACGGGGGTCTCGCAGGTGCTCAGGCACAGGTGCGCGTGTTCGTGTGCTCGACACTGATAACGATCTCACGTGAAGCTAGATCGCCTCTCCGGTGATCGGCACCGTGCGCATTACTTACCACGTGCTGGTACAGAGGGGGTTTGTCTTTACATGACTGGATATTGTGTGTTTTTTTATATCACGTGAGTGACAACCAAATGAGATTTAACATCAGACGTCAATGCGATACAACCTCTAACCTTGTTATAATAATAATAATAATAATTATCCACGCTTCGTTATCAAACGATTACTTTTTGGGGTGATGACATTTGTTCAGAGAGTACATATATATTGACCTGTATTCTTTCGCCTTGAAGTAGGTCCGTTGCCTGAAACGTCTCCTATTATACAGTTTTCCTTTTAAAGCCGCATTGTAATTGACGAATGCGTGCTGGTGTACCGCTGCCTTCCCGGTATCACCCAATTATGCGTCACAGTTGATATGGATTTAGTTGATATGGATTTAGCTGATATGGACTAAAAAGAAGAATAATGACGAATGCCACGTAGTTCCTCATGATGTTTTGCCTATTTTGTTTACGACAGGAATGATCGTAATTGTGCAGTAAACGAGACTGTGGTGCACAAATTCATTTCAATGAGCTTTCTGCGCCTCTATGAGTTTGGCGGGGAGTGGAGCGGTGGCACAGTGGTTAGCGCACTGCGCTGTGAACCTCGGCGATCTGAGTTACATTTACCGGCCGCAGGATTGGCGAGTCATGTCTGAACCACCCAGAAACACCTCACTGAGATTATTACTGAAGTCGTTGGGTGACTCGAGGATACAAAGACAAAGATCCTCCGTATAGCATGTAACAGACTGTTGGGGCAAGTGCTGTTAGCGAGCAGCTATGAATAAAGGCCGGCACGGCACACAAGGGGGTGGGTGGACAGCACCACGCCCGGCCGCCTTTGTCTCCCCACAGGTGAGGTTTACACACCGCACCAGGTACTCATTTTAGGCTGGGACGACCGAGGGGAGGCCCAGGACCGATTCAGATAATTGTCACCGGTGTTGGCAGTGAGCGGAAATCGAACTCGTGTCGCCAGGTTCGTAGCGCAGGGTGCTAAACCACTGCACTACCGCTCTCCGTGTGTGTAGAGCACACACACACACCGATATGGTGAGTCAAGTTTCTGCTATGTGTACATTTACATGTCAGAAATACATTACCGTCGAACAGGGTTTTATTAATGCTGTCACTTAGAGGAAATAAAGAGGTCGACGTTTCGGCCAACGGGCCTTCAGAAAATACTGAGGTCGGCAGAGAGAGAGAGTTAAGCTCGGTCAGGTGAGTTTGACGAAGTGGATGTTATTAAAACGTGAAAACAGTGTTTTGATTGTGCGTCTTAAGTGCAATTTGCGCTATCGCCATTCAGCGGGCCGTAGAAGATCCTCAAATGTCACCGGTTGACCCTGTTGCAATTGACAGGACTGTGAACGTTTACCCCGTCATTTAAAGATAACATCGGTAATAAAAAGAGGGGGGCCATGCGCGCCAAACGACAAAGACAAAGATGTTCCGTATAGCCTTAAGAAACTGTTGGGGCAAGTGCTGTTAGCGGGCACCTGTGAAGGCCGGAACGGCACACGAGGGGGTGGGTGGCCAACACCACACCCGGCCGCCTTTGTCTCCCGATGTTTACTACACACCGCACCAGGTACTCATTTGAGGCTGAATCGACCTAGGGGAGGCCCGGGACCGGTTCGGATAATCGTCACCGGTGTTGGCCGTGAGCGGGAATCGAACTCGGGCCGGCGGGTTCGTAGCGCAGCGTGGCGCTAACCGCTCCACACACACGCACACAGACACGTACAGACAGGAAGACAGACCAACGGTACTCACTTAGCAAAGTCGCCGTGTGGGTCCCGCTCACCCTCCCGTCGGCGTGGATCTGCAGGTGGTACCCGATGCCCACCCTGCAGTACAGAGATCCCTTCCTCGCGCCCGCTTTTCCCCAGTGCCGCGGCTCCCTGCCGGCCGAACGCAGGGTGCCCGGCCCGGCGAGATGCTGCTGCTGCTGTAGCTGCTGCAGCTGCTGCAGCCCGGCTGGCTCGAGTACCGCCGTGGGTTCGGCGTCCGAGTTGGACTCGGGGTTGTCCGGGATGGCCTGCAGCAGCGGCAGACAGCGGAGGTGGACGGCCAGCACGACGAGAAAGCGCATGTCTGGGTGGTACACGCGGCTGTGCGCAGTGCGCTGAACTTGCCGTGCGGTCATCCGAAATGTTACTCTCTTGCTCTTCTTTTACGCACGCACTCTCTCCCGTTCTCTCTGCCTCGTGTCCCCCTCTCTCTCTCTCTCTTCCTCTCCTCTCTCTCTCTCTCCCTATCACTCTCCCTCTCTCCTTCTCGCTTTCTCTCGCACGCCCGCTTGTTAACGAGGTGTCGATCACGCGCGTTATATCCACACACCCACCACCACCACCACCCCCCACCCAGCCCACCCTCTCCTCTTCGCTGTCTCACCCCACTGCCCGTTCAGTTCGCCTATTGCCCCGGGTATTTATAACGCGTCTGATGTCACAGCGTGCGCGCATACCTACAAGTGACTGACCCCAGTGCATTGCGAACACGGGAGACTGAAACTGAGACTTGGGTATTGGGAGGGGGGTTCAGGGAGTCGTGGGTGGGGGGGGTACAAGCCCCCCCCCCCTCCGTCCCTACTTTTCTCCATGGCAATTAAACAAAATGTGTTTTTCTTGTTGTTATGATACTGCATAGGCAGTGGTGCATAAGCACACGTGATATAAATTCAACACATTTGCCAAGAACACTGCGGCCTTAAAAGGAATATAAATATATAAATTCAACACATTTGCCAAGAACACTGCGGCCTTAAAAGGAATATAAATGTATAAACTCTGCTACGAAGAAGGCCCATTTCCCGAAACGTTCCCTATCGCAATGTTCATCTCTGTACACGAAGGCCAAGACACCCGCAGCAACCCAAACTCTTTGGTGAATTAAACATCCCCGAACACCTACTTACTACATTACCTATACAAGGCGATCGATTTCTAAATTTATCATTAAAATAACAAAACATTTTAGGGAATTTTTTTTTTTCGTATGCCAAAGCCTCGACCAATCTCACGCCAATTGCAATGCGCTCGTTACATCGTTAAACACTCCTCCCTGTCAGGTAGGCAGCCGTGGCTTTCTCAATATCAAATCGCCCCATGAAAATCAGCTCAGAGGGGGGGGTCATTAAAATCTGTGGGGTATCTATAAATGGATCGGCCTGTGTAACCAACTATAGTGCTCTGAGAAGCTAAGCAGGATTCAGCCTCGATGTTGCTCGGATGGGCGATCACCGTGCACATTAACCGTTGTGCAGGCTACTAAGGGGCTACGTTTGTCAGCAAAACGGCAGTGCAGCAACACCAGTTGTACGGCACGTCTATTGCTCCCCGCTGTCGCCGACCGCCGCTACGACCAGCGTGGTGAGGTATGGTCAAATAACCCCCGGCGAAGGATTGCCACTGCTGCACACGTGCCGAGGGTGTGCACGCCACACGAGCGGGGGCTGCGAGTGGGTGGATGTAACCAGCATGCAACGCGTGCCCAATTGCACCTTTGTCTCTCCAGCAATAAAATGATGCGGATTATAATCAGATAAAGAGTCCCTTTAAATCACGACGGTAAAACGATAAAAACGTAAGGACCATCAACTAAATAGGGCCGTTGGGATCATCGCTGTGCGGCCGCATTTGTTTAAGCAATGCAGCAGCAGCATTTGTTTACATTCTACGAGTCTCGAACAAGCAGGGCACCCGAGTCCCCTCCGAGGATGCGTTGACCGAGTGGAGGGGCGCAGGACACTAGGATGGGGCTCAGATGCCACTTGATAGGGACGCGTGCGTGGCGGGGCACACAGCGATCATAGTCCAGTGTGTGTGTGTGGACCACCGCGCCACCGATCCCGGCTGCGCGCGTTCGCGGCCGTGATAAGAGCAGGAACAGTGAAGAGAGAGCTTCGTCAGCATTGTACCCCGTTCTGACGTTGAATGGTGCAGGCCTCAACCACGGCGTGTCTGTCACGGTGGTTGTTTGGTCGTACCCGGTAAATCAGGGTTGGTGCAGTTGTGTCGAATATGGCCAGGAATCGTTTTTTTGTCTTTATTCATTTTGATAATAGGGGTTTCCCCTTTTTTTCTGGCAACAAAACAGGTGTTAAGATGTTCAAACACCAAACTGAAACTTTTTACAAGGAATCATGTCTGCATTGACTTAAAATGCTTGTGATCAGAACGCAAACAAAAAAACATACTCTGATAATATATGCATTGTCCTTTAAACTGATTGGTCCACACCAGAGACAGCTTTCGTTTGAGCCTCCTCTCAAACGGTGTTAGACCAGAGGACGTCATTTTGACTGAAATCGTTAACGCACAGCCCATTGTCTATTGCCGTATAATGATCCCTTCACGACGTGCTGGTCATGGGTGGTCTGTAACGGTGACGCAGCGGTTAGCGCTACGCCGCGCCACGAACCCGGCGACCCGAGTTCGATTCCCGCTCACGGCCAACATCAGTGGCGATTATTTGAACCGTTCCTGGGCGCTCCCCTAGGTCGACTCAGCCTCAAATGAGCACCTGGGGGCGGTGTGTAATCATTTCCACTTGGGAGACGAAGGCGGCCGGGCGAGGTGCTGGCCACCCACCTCCCCCGTATGCCGTGTCAGCCTTATTCGGTGCTCGCTAACAGCACTTGCTGTTACAGTCTGTTAAGGCTATACGGGGGATCTTTGTATTTGTAAGCATCATGCTTCATTATGCTGGTCAGTGAGGGTTTGTGACCGGTTCAGATATCACTCGTCACTAATGTTAGTCGTGGCAGGGAATTAATAATACTCTCGATATGTCCATTAACGGTCTCACTGAAGCCATACGACTCTTTTTTTTCGGGAGGGCCCTGAATTGGAATGCCTGGCCAGATGCATTAATGAGTGTCAACCCAGTCACCGAGCAGAGGTCTCTATAGCAACTGGCAGGGAAGATAAGATATAACTTTTGACACCTTGACCATTTTAGTACCTTCTTAATGCGCAAGTCGACCCAGGAGATGTTACACAGCTCACATTACAGCCGTGCATGCAGTGTCTTCTTGCTCAAAGAAAACCACGGGGAACGGCGCACATCCCATTTGACTCGCGCCAGCTCAGTCTGAAAACTCCACATTCCTATGGGCAGGAAGGTCAGGTCGCTCCACAGAGAACAGCCGAATGTTGACTTCCTTTGGCAAAAAAAAATAATAATTACTTCTTATCCACCCCACAGAGACGACAGATTGAGTCATTGACGGCATGCATCTGTATATTTTCACAAATGACATCGCTTAATGTAAATGATACCCTTGTACAATTCGCAGAAATTTCATGTTATAATAATAATATGTGACGGAAACAAATACCTTCCGGACCTGCTGAAGTAGACGATTGGGGCATAAGCTGCTTGCAGATACGTATGAATGTCGGTGGTGAGACGAACGGCACGCCAGTTCCACTTTGCATCCATTATGTTGGGCTGAGTCGACCTAAAAGGGGGCCAGCCCAGGTTCAGGCACCAATCTGGCTCGGTGGTGCATTTCTTTTTCACACTCGGGTTGTTGAATCATACGCATATATATTTTGTTTTACTCGCAACCCGCTGGACTGAAAGGTAGCAGTACAACAAGTGGGTTGTTATCGTGTCTTGTGCAGATCGTTAAAAGCGATATCCCCTCATCTCTGTGGGGTATCCTCCTGATGCGTGCAGACACGGAGGTGGCCACACATTCCAATGCAGGACCCTCTTGAAATGTACGGTATTGTGGATACTGAGCAAGGCGCAACTGATTCAATCGTTATCAATATTATCAGCAGTTCGCGAGCGATGGGTTAAAGTGTGGGTGCTCCCACCTCTTCTGAGACGTCTGGCAAAATGCGGAAGAGTAGGCCAAATACCCTCTAGTGGAGGCCCTTCCACCAGCAGTGGCATCCCCAAGCTCCTCGCAAGTCTGCACCTGTAACCTTTTGAATTATCATCCTTATTATTCGTATGTATATATATATTATTTGTGTTTGCCACTCGTCTCGTGAAATCGAACCGGGAGTCTAACCGGGCGATCTCAGGGGTTGTTGTTTTTTTGCCGCGCAAGAGACGTGCTCGGTAATCGATACACACTCGAAAACGAAAAGGATACAAAAACGCGCAGGTGCCACCCCTTTCTTGCGCTCCGGTGGGGGGGGAGCGAGGTCCCTTCACTGGGACCGGGGAGATCTCTCTCCCTCTCTCTCTCGGCCAAAGTTTCCGAGCGATGATGAATGGACCGATGGATGCGAGCGAGCACTTGAAACGGGGCGAGAACCGCGCGCTGCAAGCGAGACAGCGCTAACGTCACGTTTTGTGCACCGAGCGTGCGCCGCGCTTCCCAAATCGAATTTTCTTATGGCAAGTGCCTGTGAAAGTGCCCTGCGAGATTACGGTCTTGTACGGAGCACATGTGCGTGCGCGTGTTGCGGGCATACGCGACGCTGCGCTACGGACACCAGCGAACCGCGTTCGATTGCCGCTCACGGCCAATGCCGGTGACGATTATCTGAACCGTTCCTGGGCCTCCCCTAGGTCGACTTGGCCTCAAATGAGTAACTGGTGCGGTGTGTAATCATCGCCAGTAGGGAGATAAAGACCACCGGGCGTGGTGCTGACCACACACCCCCTCGTGTGCCGTGCCAGCCTTCATAGGTACTCGCTAACAGCACTTGTCCCAACAGTCTGTTAAGACTATACGGGGGATCTTTGTCTTTGTGCAGGTATTTGTGTGTATATACTGTGAGCGGGCGGTGTACTGGGTCGTGGCACTGGGCTACAATCTCAATAATTGAATGACACCTTCGTTTTCTACCTCCCGGAAGTCCGTATGTACGGTATGCATAACTTCTTTCGCACCGTACGTAGCCAATCGTGCGAATCGGCGGTGCGGGTCTCTTCTCCCAGGTCTCTCGTTCTTCGCTCATTCTCGGTCATCTCCAACATCCGCCCCACGGTCCTTCATATCCTGCTTCACCTCTTCGACCCACCTCTTTCTAGGCCTGCTTCCCGGTCTATTCACCGTTTTTTCATCTGACGTGGCTGTCCCCTCTTGGTATGAAGCCGTCTGAGTTTGACGTTCTTTCATCTTGCCTGCGATGGGTACGACTTGTGGCCATAACCAGTCTTGTTGTAATCTCTATAGATCCAGCGATGGTCCTGATGAACTAAAATTAAAGTGGGGGTAGAGTGGTGGTGCAATCATTAGCACATCGCATTAGAGTATTCCTTCGTTATTCGCGAGGGATACGTTCCGAAGGTGCCCGTGAATAGCACATTTGTTGGATAATTATATTGACATTCTTGGTTCTTTCTACGTGACT